TCATTCGGGGCTGCTGGGAATATAGACTATGAACCAGAGGCTGGGAGAAGGACGTGCAGCCGTGGGCTCAGAGGGAAGGGGCGTGGGCGTTGAAGCACCGTGCCCAGGAAACTGAGCCCAAGTGATTTCTGAGACTCGGAAGAAAATGCTGACGGCCATTTTCCCCCCTTTTCCTTTTATTTTAAAGATTTTCAAACATACAAATGGGAAGAACATTGATACTGGAAATGTACATATCTGCTGCTCCAGCAGCCGTTAACGCTTGCCCGTGTGATTCTGCGAGCCACACCCTCCCATGAATAGTGTCGCTCCATCCCATCGCTGGGAAAGGACATTGGTGTTCCTTTCGTGACCTTAGTCACCTTCGTGTCATTATCTTAGCCCGCAAAACAGCCCAAAGTCAAGAAAAATCAGTGTTGTTACTAGGCAGAGGTTATTATTGTGGCGTGGTTGTAACATTACGATTTTATGATGGCTGGACAGAGGCATTCAGAGTTTGGAGGGAGTGTATATTCATGACTCCTTTCAGTTCCGTGATTCCGTACTCCAACTTTGGAGCATACTATCGCCTATAAAATTATTTCATTTTTATTTTGTTTATGTTTAAATTTAGAGCTTTTCAGGAAAATTCCTCAATGGATTGTGTTTATTGGGTAGATGGAATAATGCATTTTTGAATGTGATTGGATGTTGTCTATGGAATGTGGTAGAATGTGGTTTATATGGTTCATCAGAAAAGGCATGGCATATCTTTCTGTTTTGTTTTTTTTTATGCAAAGATGCATCATGTCTTTAAATTTAGACAACCCCCCAGTTTACCTTTACTGCCCATGTGGGAGTCCAGCACCCTTAACCACCACGCCACCTGCCATTCTGCCAAGCAGAGGCACTGGATGGTCTTGGGGGAAGAGAAGTGCCGCCATAGGGTAACGAGACACCTCCTACGGAGGAATGGGCTCAGTGTGCCAGGTTCTGCTCTCTGGTCCACAGGCCTCTGGGGAGGGGTGAGAGGTGGGGGGTCCTGCTCTGTGTGACTTAAGAACTTCTCTCCATCTTGTGTCGTTGCCATCTGTAGATGACTTTCAAGATCTCTGTGGACTGCAAAGAATAGTTTTTAAAAAAGTTATTTCTTCCATGAGCAAGACAGAGAGGTTTGGGAGGGCAGGAAGGCGGGAGAGGGGCAGAGAGTAGCCTCAGCGGGTCGCGTTTTTGTGCCGTGGTCCACCCCAGCTTCAGCCGGCCTTGGATAATGGGCACAGTACGTTGTGAACCTGGAACTTTGTCCATGGGTCAGCCTTGCAGTGTCATGGTTTACCTCTCTGAACCATTGGGCCCCCAGTTTTTTTTTTTTTGAGAGGTTTTCGCTATAGGGTGTGTGTGCTCGCCAGACAGACAGACATAGAGACAGAAAGCGAGAAATCATCCCCCAGGGGGGATGGTCACACCACAATCCCTTCTCCTCCATTCTCCTCTCGGGATCTTGGGCACGCACGCACACGCGCCCGGCGTGAGTTCTAAGCCACCGGGTCCAGGACGCGAACCGCAGTCGACTACGTGGGAGTCCAGCGACATAGCCATTACGCTAACTGCTGGTTCCCCCTCCAGTAATTTTTGACAGGTGACCAAACTTGTGTGTGGTCTCACGTTGTCAAGATGGAACACAACTCCTTTATGATTAATGAGTTCTAAACACTTCTGGATGATGGAATTGTTCAAACTAACTGCCGACAGTACACATTTGAACCGACTGGCAGGAGCTCAAAAAAACACAACACCTTTAAAATCCCACCACACTGAGAGCATAACCTTCCTCTGATGGTCTGCTTCCAATGTTGTTTGAGGCAACTCATCATGCAGGACCAAGACCGTCTGTGCACCACATCGTTGTGAACAGTCCATTTCTTGTCACCAGAGCTTCCTTACATATCCCAGCCTTTTCAGGTGGTCGCGAACAACTGAATGACAGATGTTCAATGTTTCTGCAATCTCTTGTGTTGTGTAACATGGGATTGACGTGATCAATGATTTTATTTTATCATTATCAACCTCAGTGAGCTTTTCAGCCTTCCGGTTCAAGGTTTTCCCTCTCTGAACATTGGGCCCCCCATTTTTTTTTTTTTTGAGAGGTTTTCGCTATAGGGTGTGTGTGCTCGCCAGACAGACAGACATAGAGACAGAAAGCGAGAAATCACCCCCCAGGGGGGATGGTCACACCACAATCCCTTCTCCTCCATTCTCCTCTCGGGATCTTGGGCACGCACGCACACGCGCCCGGCGTGAGTTCTAAGCCACCGGGTCCAGGACGCGAACCGCAGTCGACTACGTGGGAGTCCAGCGACATAGCCATTACGCTAACTGCTGGTTCCCCCTCCAGTGTTTCTTAAATGGGCCACAACTAAGTCACTCGATTCCCCATAAAACCTGGGGAGGCTGGCAAGTAGGCACTAGGCATGTGCGTGGAATGAAAATGAAACCCGTTTGGTAATCGGTAGCATTGTCTCTGTCAGAGTAACCTGCTCCTTGGACACAGAGCTTCCTGTGGTCATCAGGAAGGCTCCTTCCCCTTCAGCTAGTCATGGAATCCAGATCCCGGGAGGGGATCCACTGGAGCCTGGGGAGACAGGCTGGCGCCCTCGGAATTGTGCGAGGGGCAGACTGAAAAGCTGATGCAAGCGGTGCTGATGGGGAGACAGACTGTGGGCCCCGGACAGTGATCCTGGAGGGCAGAGTCCAGTATGTCTCACAGGGTCGTGAGTCATGGCTTAGTTCTGCTGGAACTCTTTGAGGCATTAAATGAGAGTGCAGATAGAGCGCACGGCCGGGATCAGGGGGACTCCCTGTAGGTCACGAGTAAGGCTCCGAGGCAAAGTCAGCTCAGAAGTGGGATGCTGCTGATCCACTCACAGCATTGTGTCAAGGCCTAGAATCTTATCTGGTGCAAGACAGCTCAGCAGATGCTTCCAGGGTGCTGGAACTCAGGTCTTTCTCTAGATTGGGAAACTCAGGGTTAAACTGTGAGTGAGCTCTGTGTGGAGCCCCGTGGCTGCTGAGTTAGCACACAGAGGTGCGGGTGTCCCAACTTGGAGAGCCGACACCACGCCCTGCTGCTCCAGGACTGGAGGTAGGAGCCACTGTTTCTTCAGAAGAATGGTTAAGGTACTTACCAACAGAAAGAGGAAACCAGCTAGCCAACAAATAAAACACAGGACAAACAAGAAGAAAAAATGGGGGGGCAAACCCACATGAGAGTGGGGAGGTCCTGCCTTGTGGTTATGGGCTTGGCTTTGGGACCAGACCATCTGGGTTTGATTCCCATCTCCTGCTTTCTAGCCATGAAACCATAGGCAAATTGTTTGGTCTCTGAAATCTGCAAAATGGAGCTGGAATTTTACCTGTGCGATAGGGTTTTGAGAATCCAGTAAATTAATATAGAGTACCTAAAACCGAGCCCGTTTTCATTCAGGTAGCCCTTCTGTGGCTGAGGTGCTTAGACCAGGCTCAGAATATTTGGTCGGGGTTAGCTGCTATAGCTGATATTCTAATCTCCTGGATAGTAAAGCTTTAGTAGAAATTATATTTGCCTTTGGTACAACATCGTATTTCCCTTAGAATGTTAAACGGCTCAGGCAACCAAACCTCAAGGAGGCAAGCCGTGTGGGAGGTCCAGACGAGAATTATTAAACCATCACAGGGTGGAAAAAGGAGCTTCATGCCAGCTGCCCACCAGCCTGGAAGGGGAGAGGATTGTGTTTCTGCAGGAGTAAAGTTAGCCACGTTTGCTGAGTCCCCGGTGTGTGGGATGGGGTGGCAGCCCATGAGCAGTTTTCAGCCAGAGCCAGCCCGTTCTGGCCCTTGGACGGGATGGGGCCCCTCTGGGAGGTGGGAGAGGCTGTGACTGGGACAGAGTGGCTGACAGTCACAGGGACACTGAGTCGCAGGCATCTCTGACAGCGGGGTTGCTGCAGTGGTGCGGCAGGCCCCAGCTGGGAGCCACGCTTGTTCTCTACTCTTGAGTCGTTGGGTCGGCCCCGGGAAGCATGTCACGGTCAGCCGTACTCATGGCCGGAACTCTGGCCTCTGCCCTCCTTCTGTGAGTCTCCCAATGCATCGTCCTGGGCTTGTTGGGGGCTGACTGCAGTCCAGGGACACTGCAGGCTCAGGCTCCCTCTATGTGGGTTACCTCCTTCCGTGTCATTAATGGCTTCCCTCAGGCCTACCTGATACCATTCTGGAATGAAAGGGGTTGAGGCCAGCCTCGAGGGTTTACGAGGGAGTGTCTGCAACTTCCTAGAAGCCTCTCTGATCCCTGACCCAACAGGGCCCCTTCCCAGCCTGCACTTGGATTTTTAACCAGACACTTGGCATTGGGCCTATTTCCCGTTTCTTCTCTTGCTCCACAGACTTCCTTCCGTGTTGGGGGTCACATTAACAGAGCTCGTGTTTTTCCTCTCGACTTGCACAGGTAACAATGGGAGAGGTGCTCCCGTGTTCACCGGCGAGGTCGACTGCACCTACTTCTTCACGTGGGACACGGCGTTCGCCTGCATCAAGGAGAAGGAGGACCTCCTCTGCAGCGCCACGGATGGGACGAGGCGCTACGACCTGTCCGCGCTGGCTCGCCACTCAGGTGCGCCTCCTTGCCCGCAGGGCTCAGGCCTGTGTTCAGGGTGGCTCTCCAGGAGTGCTCCTGCTCAGGCTGTCACTGCTCAGGTTGCTGGCTGACCGGGGCACGGGCCCGCGGCTTTCCTTCATCCAAAGCCAGGGATGATGGGTGGAGCCCTGCGTGGGAGGTGAACTCCTGAATTGGAGAGCGCCCTGACCGTTTTCTCGCTGGGTTTCCTTGGGCTTCGTTTCTCAGAGTTCATAAAACTGCCCAACACTGACTGCAGCAGGCCCTGTGCTCTGTTTAGAAACTTTATTTTTGTTTTAAGTTGAACTCTTCAGCACCTTTCTAGTTCCAGCATTCCCATGCCAGCACGCAGGTTTAGGCTCGGTGGCTAAGACAGCCGGGTGGAGGCTGCCAGAGCTGGGCTTCAGGGCCTGTCTTTGGCCTCGTGCTTCTGCCCTTCCATCTCACTGCCTCCCCATCTGAATGGGATCAGCATCTCCCCCTTACTCGACGAGGATCAGGGATGTGTGAATGGGCCCCTTGGGCCACTGTCCAGTGCTGCATCAGTGTTGGAGCTTGTTCTTGAGGTCGGCTCACAGTGAAAACCCGCTGAACCCTTGTTCCACAGCAGCATCAGACGGGGTGCTGGGGTACCACAGAGGCCCGACCGCATGGCCTTGCCCTGGTGGGGCTTGGGAATTAGCAGGAAACAGAGAGGGTGGAGGAAGGAGGGACATCCCAATCTCACCGGGGGAGTAGCCCTGGAATCGCATCTCTAAGGTGGAGATTGCCCCTTAGGAAAGAGAATGACCTGCCTAAGATCACATGATTGCCAGGGCAACAGGATTGTCACCAGGTCTTCTTCGTCCCCTTGGGGGAAAGCACACAGCTAGAAAGAGGATTGAATCCCTCTGTGGGGTGTTGGGGAGCTTTCCTTGGGCAGAGGCTGTGGGAGTCCCCACCACACACGCTCCTGTTTGCAGCCGGCCCCTACAGAAGACACCCCGTGGGTGCCCATCTTCCGGCCCAAGACACCCTGTGGGTGCCCATCTTGCGGCCCCTTCAAGCTGTTGGGCATGGTGCTTGCTTAGGCTCCGGTGCACGTGTGCCAAGGAGGAGGCTGTGCACGGGAAAGGCCTAACCTCGGAATCAGGGACCTGGTTGAGGACTTTTTTGTTTCGTTTTGTTTTAAATGCCACTGGGTTCAAGCCACGCCTAGGACCTGTGAGGGCTGCAGAAACACATTTCTTCACCCAGCAAACTCCCGACACCCCGTGGTTCTCTGGGAAGCTGGAGTATTCTGCAGCATTTGTGGTTAGATGGTCGCAGGGCAGCCAGGAGGTGAGAATGAGGTGAGGGCTAGAACCCTGTCATTGCTGAGGAGCCCCTTCTAGACTTCACGGCCCCACCCAGCCATCCCCAGTGTCAGGGCAGGACCTGGTTTCTGCATGGCGCTGTGGTTTTCTTCAGCTGTGAACCGGATGTAGTTCTGCCAACGTCTGTGGCACCTCTGCTGAACTGTGGGGCTTTTGCTTTCAAGGACTGGTGTTTTTATCTTTGCGTCCTTTTCCACACAGTGGCAGCTGTTCATGGAAGAGTGGTTTTTCGGGACCACTCCTTTTCTTGTGGTTGTGCCCTCTGCCTCCTGTGGCTTTCTGGCCAGAGTCTGCTCACTGACTGGCTGCCAGCCCTTCGGAGTTTGCAAACTAGGCATCACTTGTCGCTCTCGGGCACCTAGGTCTGCTCTCGAGTTGCACATGGATGAGAGACTGGAGGCCTCCAGGCCCAGGGTCTGCGGCTGGTACTGGGTCCATGGGCGGCCGTCCCCCAGGCCCCACGGCTGGCTTCCTGATTGAGTTTTCAGTTCCTGGGTTTGCAGTGTGGAGCTGTTCAGTCCTCTGTTCCGTGGCTATGCCACGGAAGATACATCAGGGTCTGGTTTGTTTCCGTCACATTAAATGGAAACCGAGGAGCAGCAATTTAGTGACCAAATGCCCACTGAGTTTGGGGCCTTGACCTCGGCTTCATCACCGTGATGGGATTCACAGAGATGTCGTCACTGCCTTTGGCCAAAAGGAACTTTTTTTTCGTTACAGAATCAGAACAGAATTGGGAAGCGGTGGATGGCAGCCAGACGGAGACAGAAAAGAAGCATTTCTTCATCAACGTGTGCCACAGGGTGCTGCAGGGAGGCGAGGCGCAGGGCTGTCCTGAGGAGGCCGCAGCCTGTGCCGTGGGTGAGCTGTGCCCGAGGGCAGGTTCCGGTGCTGGTTCCCAGGGGCTGAGGAACTCTGCCCCCTTGCATGGAGTGAATTAAAAGTCCTCCTTGGTTTGCCTCAGCCTGCTCTCCTCTGTACATGTAAGGGTGGTAACCGAAGCATTGGCTCAGACGTAGCTACGTGGTGCACTTCGGCCTCCTGAGGTTGGCCGCAGCCTCCTGACGTTGGCTGAAGCCAGAGCTGGGAACAGAAAGGACATCGTTAGAAAATACTTGATTGTCTTTTCATTTTGCCACCTGAAAAATGGTGTTACCAATACATGCGTAAAACCGATTTTAAAGCCCTTTTACTGCCTGAACCTCACTGTCTGAAAGTTCCGGCTGAAGGGATGTAGAGTCTCAGTGGTAGCCCTCCTGAAGGTGCTGGTCGCCCAGTTCCTTCGCTGTGACCCTTCGGCTCCTTGAGCCATCATGCAGAGACATGTCAGTTTCACATCGGTCCATGGAAGTTAGCTGCCATTTACGAACCACTTGGAAAATGAGCATCGCGGTAAACATTTGGTAGGGAACAGTGAGCTTTGTTGGATTTCAGGACCTACTACTCGGAACTGGTTCTGTATCTTTCAAAGAATGTGTAGGCATGCTCATGTCTTTTTTTAAAAAGCACTCTGGGACAGAATTTTAATACTTTATAGTAAAAAGCAGCTGAGCCAAGAATCGAGTGGCAGCTCGAGTTGCTGGACGGCTTTAGTTAGTATCTGCTTTGGTCTTAAAGACAACCTCTGGCCCTTTGTACCCTCAGAAGACGCGTGTCCAGGGGAGCTGAGGCCCAGCACATGGGCGTGGGGGTGCTTATGGAGGGCGGCCATGGCGATGGTGCACACCAGCTCTGGTGCCCTTGCAGGACATGGCCCCTTCCTGCTAAGCCTGGGGGTGGCCTTGGCATCCTCAATGTGGCGGTTACTGCCCAAGCCTTCCATTCAAGAAGAGCCATCTGCTGGTTAGGCGGCCTGGATGGCGCCGTGGTGCTCCTGTCCGGTTTGAGCTGACTCGGGGCACCTCTTTGTGTCGCGATCGTTTGTAACCATGCCTTTTGCTTTTTTTCCTGCTTTCTTTCTGTTTTCCAGATAAGAATGGAAGTAAAAATCTGGGAAAATTCATTTCTTCTCCTACAAAAGAGAAAGGAAACATTCAGCTCTCTTACTCAGATGGCGATACTTGTGGTCAAGACAAGAAAATAAAAACGAACATAACACTTATATGCAAGCCAGGTGAAAATAAAACTTTTTAAGATGAAATGTTTTCATGACTTTTCCAGAGGCGACCCACCTACTTCACTGCCCTGTCCCTCGTGGTCACGGCAGGGGAGCTGGGGTGGAAATGGTGCCGAGCACCATAGGTTTCGGCATCTTGGGCGATGGGTCAGCTGGATTTTCCCCCATACCCCGCCCAAACCTAGTTCGAAAAGGGGAACCCTGTGATGGGTATCTGAAGGGAGTTGTGTTGTAATATTTGCATGAGTTGTGGGCCCCATGTAACTTCTGCCTGAGGGCTGGTACAGAGCCACCCCTGCTGTTGCTTAACTTCCTGCAGAAGGGAAAGGTCTTAAATGGTCTTTTTTTTTTTTTTTTTTAAAGAGAGATTTTTGCTGTAGGGCATGTGCACTTGCCAGAGAGACAGAAATAGAAAGTGAGAAATCATCCCCCAGGGTGGATGGCCACGCCAGTCCCTTCTCCTCTTGAGATTTTGGGTGTGCCTGCACACACCCCCAGCCTGAGTTTTTTTTTTTTTTAAGCTGCTGGGTCTTAGACTTGAACCATGGTCAACCTCATAGGAGTCCAGCAACCTAGCCATTACGCCATCTGCTGGTCCCCTTAAATGATCTCAAGGTGTTGCCATGACCTCCCCATTTAAGTGCAGCGTGTGTTTTCCCTTACCTTTCCTCGTAGATACGTGCTGTATGCGTGTTCACACGTGTTAACGCTGCTCAAGATGTAGTAGCCGTGAATGTTTTCTCATGCTTCACTCTTCTATTTATAGCTCCTCGGACTTCCTGATTGAGGCGGTCTGGCTTTGCTATTTTTAAACATCTTCCCAGTTCTTGGACTAGTGGCCGGTTTCCAGTGCTGGTCACTGTGTTAACACACGCCCTTGCCCTCCCTCCTGCTGACGTAGTGCCTTTGGGATAGGGTCCGAGGTGGCGCCATTGTTTGTCTTACTGGGTGAAATGTATAGAACGGAAATTGATCATTTCAACCATTTTTTTCAAAATAGTCACAAAATATACGTACCATAAAATGTAGTCTTCACTCTTTGAGCGCGTAGTTCCATGGTGTTAAGTACGTCCATGTGTGCAGCCGTCACCACCACCCACGTCCAGAATGGTCTTTCTCCCCTGGGACTCTGTCCCCTTGAACACTCCACATGTCCCTGCCCCCAGCTCCCGGCCACCCTCCTGGACCCCTCATGGAAGTGGAGCCATATAGTACCTACAGGACCCTTGACGTGCCGTCCCTCATTTCGCGCTGCCCCTTCCAAAAGCAGGAGTAAGGGAGGTTTTCCGGGGATGCACAGGCCGCTGATTCCTCTCTCCCCCATTGACAGGTGACCTGGAAAGTGCGCCTGTGCTGAGGACCTCTGGGGACGATGGCTGCTTCTACGAGTTTGAGTGGCACACGGCTGCGGCCTGCGTGCTGTCGAGGACGGAGGGCGAAAACTGTACGGTCTTTGATTCCCAGGCAGGTGTGTGACGCAGCGGGGCCTCGTCGTCTGGTGTGACTCGGGGACATTTAAGGTTTTCTCTGGACATTTTCTATGAGTGTTTTCAGAGTAACCTGCTTCAGAATTTATTAATGCATCATTTGACCTACATTCTGGAAATTTCATGCTTGGGGTGATTTCAGATATGGAAAATGCTCTCTTAAGTACTTGTTGAGGTGGGTAGGTTTGCTGAGTGCAGAGCTCAGGAGCGCAGGGACCGCGTAGTGTCTGGGAAGGCTCTCGCCGGAGTTCTCGCCAGAAACCCGCCTTACCGGGCACCCTTAGGAGGCTGTCCCTTGGTGGTCATTCCGTTTGAACACACTGGTGGTTTATTAGGTCAGCAGTTATGGGTTCTGAGTAGGGTTTTAGGCTAATGCAGTGAAGGAGAGTGGCGGTGTTGAATCCGTCTCCAGGGGACCTGTTAGTGGTGGCAGCTTCGGTGGCCTGGAAGACAAATGTCTCTCTGCCTCTTCAGAGTCTTCTGATCACAAGGAAGCCCCTGGGAAGAATCCTTTTTCTTGCCCCTGGAGGGTGGGTCACCCTGTTGACTGTCTTTTGACCAGCTGTACATACTCTTACTGTTTTAATTCTTGCTTAGGGTTTTCTTTTGACTTATCTCTGCTCACAAAGAAAAACGGCGCCTACAGAGTTGAGACAGAGAAGTACGACTTTTACATAAACGTGTGTGGCCCGGTGTCCGCGAGCCCCTGCCCGCCAGACGCAGGAGCCTGTCAGGTAGCAAAAAGGCAAGTTGCTGCCCAGCCCGCAGGTGTTTCGTGCCTGTAGGCACTATCTGGGAACAATAACATCTAACAATAACAGTCCATGACTTCACTGCTTTACAACGCATTTAACCACCGAGGAGGCCTGGCCTGAAAATGAGAAGTGCAAGGTGTTCTGTTTCCCAGAGAGGGAGCCAGCCCCACGCCTGGGCAGGAAGAATGCACGTATAAGCTGCACCACTTGCATTTTGCACTTCTCAGGTCATAGATGTTTATGAGCGTGTTTCTATTCTGTGTGGCGTTAGTGCAACCAAAGTCAGTTGGCTCTGAAACCCATGGGGCCCAATGGGCATGGGGAAGCCCCCCCCCCCCAACGAGAAACCCTGGTGTGGTCTACAGCTGGGTCCTGCCCCCTGTCTCCACACTGCTCGTCAGCCCCGCCTGCAGCCTTGCAGCCGTGACGAGCTCATGCTCATCGGTCTGTCCTGTGTGTGCATTCTAGTGACAGGAAGGCTTGGAACTTGGGGCTGAGTAACGCCAGACTTTCGTACTATGATGGGATGGTGCAGCTGAGCTACAAGGATGGCACGCCCTACAACAACGAGAAGCACACGCCCAGAGCGACCCTGATCACGTTCCTCTGTGACCGCGAGGCTGGAGTGGGTTTTCCTGAATATCAGGTAGGCATTGTCCCTTGGGTAGTTCCAGGCTCATAGGAGTGTGCTGTAGGCCCTCGATTCAGAAGCAGAACGGTTATGAGTCTGGTTCCTCACCAAGCCATCACCTTAATTAATCCTTTCAGGTAGACTGAGGTACGGAGACAGTAGTCCCTTTTTAAGCTGTTTATGTAGCTGTTATGAGGATCGTACACCTCAGCCATGGTCTACAACCCTATTGGTTTTGGGTACAAAACGTGAAAGCATCAACATTTATCCTTTATCCCTACTTAGAAAGGGCTAAAGTTCTGTCTTAATTTATTACTGGGCAGTCATTTCTTTTTAATAAAGAGAAAGGTGGACGAAGTAAACTGCTGAGAGGTTTTTATTTGAAACAATGTGCTGGTCATTTCTCACATGCTGGCTTGTGTAAGGTTTTCTTTTCCGCTGGCTGTCCCTCCTTGTTCACGGCTTGTCCTGTGGTTAGGAAGAACACAACTCCACCTACAACTTCCGGTGGTACACCAGCTACGCCTGCCCGGAGGAGCCCCTGGAGTGCGTGGTCACTGACCCATCCACCTCGGAGCAGTACGACCTGTCCAGGTGAGCCGGGCACGCCCCTGCCAGCTCCACAGTGCAGTTGCTGAGGGTGGGCTTGCTGCTGAGCTCTGCCATGGAGTAACGCTAGCTCGGGGGTAGGGCCAAGATGGGAACTTTGGGCAGTTTCTTCCCCAGTTTTTAAAAAATTACTATTTATTTATTATTATTATTTTTAAAGTTTGTTATAGGGCATGTGTGCTTACCAGAGAGACATAGTGAGAAAGAGAAAAGTGAGAAAGTACCTACCTCCAGGTCTAGGACTTGAACCATAATCGGCTATGTAGGAGTCCGGTACCCTAACCACCAGGCCACCTGCCAGCTCCAAGAATGAATTCTAACAAGGTTCTTGTAACCTTTGCAATATCAAATGGTCTTGTCACAGCAAAGTTTCGGTCTTCAGTTCCGTTCTTTAACACAGCAGTGCCGAGGTGTGGGGGCAGGCTTAAGGTCCTTGGCCTACCGAGTGTAGGAGGTCAGGTATTATCACACCGTTATGGAGTCACATGAGCTCCTTGCGGTTTGGTAGGGTATGTGTCATTTGATAGGTTTTTTTATTGGCTAGTTAGAAATAAATGGTCAGAATGGTACGTGTAAGCTGTTTCAAAATGTGCATTTTGCTTTAAAATTTTAGCCTAGCAAAATCTGAAGGCGGTCGTGGAGGAAACTGGTTTGCCATGGACAACTCAGGCGAGCATGTCACCTGGAGGAAATACTACATAAACGTGTGTCGGCCTCTGAACCCCGTGCCAGGCTGTGACCGATACGCATCGGCTTGCCAGATGAAATACAAGAAAGACCAAGTGAGTCTGTCTCCACTGGTTGTCTCGTTTCCCCTCTTAGAGCACGACCGAGTGGGCGGAGATGGTTATTTTGGGACTCACAGATCAAAGTAGGCCTGGCTGCTCAGCCGGAGCCCCTCTGTGTGAGCGGGCCCCGCGTGAGCCAGTCTGCCTCCTGAACAGACGTGTGTCCTGCTTGGACCCTTGTTCACATTTCAGACCTGCAGAAAGGCAGAGCCGCGTGCTGCCAACCTTTGATCTCAGCACAGGGCAGGGGAAGCTCGTAATGGGTTTGTCTGGCCCGAATTCAAAAGCGTCTGAGCGATTTGCAGACATCTGTAAGAGAGTTTGTGCTTTCCAAAGCTCTTGCTTCTGGATTAATTAGGGAACAGTGGTAGGTTTGGGGGAGTCGCCATGGAGGAACAAGACCTAGGCAGTAGCCCTCGCTCTGGGGCCAGGCTGTGCTTCTCCATCTGACCACATACTTCCTGTGGGTGTGCAACACGGAAGTAAAGATACATGTGTGTTCTGGAAGTCGGCCTCTGCGAGGATGACGTGTTGCGAATGTACTTTCCATGGCGTATGCCAATGGCAGCGTGAAGGTTTTTACAGGAAGACGGTTGTGCTCTGGTGGTGAAGAGCCGAGTTCCTGGTGTGTGGCCCTGTGCTTGTGTGTGTGTGGTCTTTGTTGGAGAAATGACCTCGACCTCAAAGCACAGTCAGTGCTAATTCTGACTCCATGTTTGTGAACCCTCCGGCCCCCTGACTTTGGCTACCCCCACGTCAGGTGCAGAGCCCCTGCATGGCCATCCCTGAACAGCGCAGTTTCCCGCCTGCAGCTGAACAAGGCAACGCTCTGCCCTCCCGTCTTGGCCTCATGCAGAGAGGACCAGCACGGGGCAGGAGGAGGAGGCAGGGATGGCCAATGCAGGGCGAGAGGCCCTGGGCCGGTTGGATTACTGGATCTGGATCTCAGTCTGGGCACCAAATAGTGGGGTGTCCTCAGCTGACAAGTGACGCTTCTGAGCCTCATTGTCCCTTTCGTAAAATGAAGGAAATAGAGCCCATCAGGGTGAGCCATTAAGATAAAAGGTTATAGTCTACACGAGCTATGTGATATGAGGGGACGTCAAGAAGATCATGGAAAAATAGAATTCAAGTTTTAAGTTTCTTTTGATGCAAAAATGTTTTTGAAATCCGTATGTAGTTTTTTCTTTTTTTCCTTTTTGCTATAAGGGTGCATGTGCTCGCCAGAAAGACAGAGACAGACAGACAGAAAGCGAAAAATCACCCCCCAGGGGGGATGGCCATGCCGCAGTCCCTTCTCCTTCGTTCTCCTCTCGGGATCTTGGGCATACACGCACACGCGTCTGGCATGAGTTTAAGCCACCGGGTCTGGGACTCGAACCATGGTTGACTACATGGGACATAGCTATTATGCCAACTCCTGGTCCCACGTAGTTTTTTCATAATACACATGTTCCTTAACTTTCTGAAGACCCGTTGTGGATATTATTAGTGGTGAAGTCAGCACCTGAACCCGGTCGTATGTTCTAAAGCCTGTGTTTGTGAATTTTAGAACACACGGGGCCATATGAACTGCTGGCGAGCTGCTGGCCACAGCGACTCTCAGCAAAGATGTAGAAGCATTGCATGGCTTCTCTCCCAGCCCGGCAGTGTTCTTTTTTTGCAATAGGGCATGTATGCTTGCTGGAGAGAGACGGGGGGGAAGCAAGGAAGCACTCTACCGGGCACTCATCCACGCACGCTGGGCATGTTTCTCAGATCACTGGGTCCAGCATCACGCCATGCAGTCGGCCGTGGGATCCAGCTGCCTTAACTACTGCACCACCAGCTGGTCCACTCGCTGATTATTCCTTTCTCCAAAACTTTCCTAACTTTGGGTGAATTTGACTCTTTTCACAACCCTTTTCTCTCTTTGGCCACTTTTCTTTTTAAAGAGTTTTTTGCCTTAAGTGTGTGCAGTCACTAGAAAGAGAGACAGAGAGACAGAGAGAGTGAGAGGCAGAAAGTGAGAAATCACCCCCTAAGGGACCCCCACCCCCGGGGAAATGGCCACTGGCGCTGCAGTCCCTTCTCTCCCATTTCCCTCCTGGGATCTTGGGCATGCACACACTCACACCTGGTGTGATTTTTCAAGCCATCAGGTTGAACTCTAACCGTGGTCAGCCATGTGCAGTTCAGTGACGTAAGCACTACACCATCTGCTGGCCCTCTTTGGTCACATTCGAATAAGCCTTTTCTTCTTGAATATGAAATGCTGGTGTTTCTCGAAATTACAGTCTCAGTTCTCTTTTCTTCTGCACACTTTCTAGGAGATCTTATTCCTTCCAGTGGCCGTGTAGAGGGGAGCTTCAGAAAGATCAGGGAGGGCCAGTTCTCAGACTGAGCAGCTGAGAGCTGGATCCCGCTTGGCTGATTGGAGTTCAGATCCCAGCCCTGGCTGCTGGAAAATCATGCCCAGTGCATGTGTGCATTGTGTCTAACAGCCCGGCAGGATGGAGAGATGGAGAAGGAATTGTGGCATGACCCTGCCCCATTGTGGGTTGTCCCTCCCTCCCACGTGCCCTCTGGTGATTATAAAACCTAAGTTTGTGGGAAAATGCAATCAAATTATGAGTTTATTTTGGTGCACAAAAATTTGAAATCCACGTACAGTATTCTAATGAAATGCATTCTCCACGAGCACTCCGAAACCCTCCTAGTGTGCTAAACCCTTGGAGCAGTGGCTCCGTACCCGGTCATGCGCTGCTGGCAGCGTGGTGCGAACTGAGGACTGAGGATGAGCCTTGACCAAACTAGCAGTGAAGAGGTGCGCGTTCCCCTTCCCAGGGGAAAGCCTCACCAGATGTTTTTGCTGCAGGACTCCTTTGCGGAAACGGTTTCCATCAGCAACTTGGGGATGGCGAAGACAGGCCCGGTGGTGGAGGAGAGCGGCAGCCTGCTCTTGGAGTACGTCAACGGCTCTGCCTGCACCACCAGCGATGGCAGACTGACCACCTACACCACGAGGATCCACCTGGTCTGTGCTCGCGGGAGCCTGGTGAGCATGCCCGTCACCTCCGTTGCTCGGGTGCTCCTGACCTGATGTGTCTTTCAACAGAACCAGATGCATCTTGGGGTGGGCAGAGATGTAGGTTGGTCTTATTCTGGGTACAGTCAGCATGCGGTGTCAGGGGGAGCTGGCTGGGCACGCGCCATGCCTTCTTGGCTTGATTTCTGAGTGTTACCTCGTCCTTTACTGTGGGCATGGAGCTCTGGCGTGGCAGGTGCCGACTGGCGTTCTGCAGACGGACTTTTCTCCTGAGTTGTACAGACACCACCTCACCTTTTAGTTCTTGCGAGTTGATGACCTGAGGATCGCTTTTCAGAGTGATCTCACGTGGGCACTGTGTCAGCACTTACATGAGGCCTGCTGCACAGTGCCGGCTCGGGGATTATTCACCAACTGACCGAAGAGGGCCCCGTTCCCAGAGAGTTTTGCAAGTCCCAGGGTGTTTATGGGTAAAGTTCAGTTACTTTTTACAACCACATCATGAGACAGAAGGAACGTGGTGCCCAGCGATGGTAGGGCTTCTGGACTAAGGATCCCTTGGTGGGCCAGAGTATGGCCAGGGTCAGGTGACAGTGCTCCTTAACTCTGGCCCTGGGCAGCCGTTGGGACGGGACTGCTCTCTACCTCAGATTCTCACCCTTGTTTTAATGCAATCCTGCCCATAGATAGAGCCCACACGTTCTTTTATTTTTTCAGTTTTTGCTATAGGGCACACATGGTTATCAGATAGAGAAATCTCCCTCGTTTTTCAAGGTAGGCTATGGACACTTGTAGAACCTGGTCCATGGGTCACTGGGAGGGTCAACTGTGGAGTAGTGGAAAACCACCAGTGTGGTGCCCTGTCTGGGAAACCCTCACACGTGAGCCCCCGGGCCCGTGATGGAGGTGGTGCCCGTATAGGAAGGTGGCCCGCCGTTCTTTCTGTTGAAACACGCAGCGTGCACGGATTGTAAGTCGGTAGCAGCCGGATGAGTTTTCACAGTGGACATGTGCATAGGACCTCATCGAGATCTGTCAGCACCACCCAGGAGCCCCTCTCAGGCCTCTCCCCGTCACCCTCAACCCCTCTGCCGACCTCTGACGCTGCAGGTCTGCCGTGCCTGATTCGGAGCACATGTTGATGAACTCACACACTCTGCGGTCTTGCGTGCCTGCTTCTTGCATCAGCTTTTAGGGTAGTGTGTCTCCCAGAAGCGTGGGCTTGGGCTCAGGCCAGGCCTGCTCCCAGCTGTACCGTTTACTGTAGCTCGATCTCTAACGTACGTGGGAGGCAGTGCCGCGCTCCCTGGGGTAGTGAGAACACAGTGCGATTGGGAGATGCACGGGAAACACCCAGCTTACTGGCTGCAGAGTCGTCGTTGGGGTCAGTCATCGCTGAGCTGCTTCCGTGTAGCGGGCAGGTTCTTCTGCTTTGATCAAGCTCCGTGTAGCTGTGTTGACATCCATCCCGGATTTGGCCTTTCAGAGCTCCCACCCCATCTTTTCTCTCAACTGGGAGTGTGTGGTCAGTTTCCTGTGGAACACAGAGGCCGCCTGTCCTGTGCAGACAATGACAGATACAGACCAGGTACGTGTGCCTGTATAGGATCTAGTCCGTGTGTTTTACATGATTCTGTCCATAGTCAAGCCTGTGTTTCAGTGTGATCCTGTCCATAGGATAAAGCCTGTATGTTTAAAGTGCTCCTGTCTACAGGATAAAGCCCCTGTGTTTTAATGCGATCCTGCCCATAGATAAAGCCCACATGTTCTTTTTTAGTTTTTGCTATAGGGCACATACTCTTACCAGATAGAGAAATCTCCCTCCTGTTTCAAATTTCCGGGTCTGGGACTCGAACTGCACAGTTGGCCCATGGGGGATCCAGTGCCATAACCACCACGCCACCGGCCGACCCCAAAGCCTGCGTGTTCTGATGTGCCACTCCAGGCTCTCAGTGCTGATGCTGGCGTGTTCCCCAGCATCTCTCCTTCAGCGTGTGCTGCAGTCCTGGGCTCGCCTGCCCCTTGGCCCTGGTCCTCACGCTCCCCCGCTGCTCGCTTTTCCACAGAGTACAGCAATAAGCTGCTCTGGGGTCTCTGCCGCCCCAGTCTCGAGCCATGTTCACAGTGCTGTGGGTATTTCTGTATGGCAGGACATATTTCCTTCCTGTTCCCACCCCCCAAGTAACTATTTAATTGTATTTATTACTTTTTAAGGGCACATGCGCTCACTAGAGAGAGAAAGAGACAGAGAGGGAAAGTGAGAAAGCAGGCTGCCTGGTCCAGGACACATGAACCACGGTCAGCCATGTGGGAGTCCACTGCTTTAACCACCACGTCACCTGCTGGCTCCATCCTGTCCCACTTTAAACTCCCCACCAGACTGCAGACTCTTTGGCAGCAGAGATCGTGGCTTACCCAAACGAGAGACCCAGCAGGGGGTCCTGGCTTCGTAGGCTTCTGGTGGGGCAGGAGTGGTGGCTGCCAGGCCCCAACAGTGGTCCATGCTTCCTGGGCTGTGAAAGCTGCTGCCCTGTCCCCAACATTTGGTGTGCATGAACCCCAGGGAGCTGCTCATTCATCACACCTCAAAGACGACAGGAAGTTGCGTGAATTGCCCGATCCGACCGTTCTTCCTGGCACTGACTCTAAGCACATAGCTGAGTTAGAGATGTCACGGGAGGCTGGTAGGTGACATGGTGGCTAAGGCGGCTGGATTCACACACGGCCAAAAGACTGCAGTTTCTGTGTCCTGGCCCCAGTGGCCCGAAACTCACACTGGGCACATGTGTGTGCATGCTCAAAGAGAGTAGAGGAGAAGGGATTGTGGCATGGCCATTCCCCCCGGGGCGTGATTTCTCACTTTCCATCTCTTTGTCTCTCTTCTTTCTGTCTCTTCTCTGGTGAGTGCACATGCCCTAACACAAAAACCTATAAAAAAAAAAGCCCAAAACAAATGGACCATGGAACTACTCCAGGTTGTTGTTTTCTTAAAAAAAGGTATTTATGAGTGTTTTGGGGTCCCACCTAAAGTTCCCCTTTGGGGTTAGCTGTCGTCTCCAGTCCAGGTGAGGACAGTGGCCCCAGGAGCTTCCAGGTGATTGTGTTGCAGAGCCCAGTGTCATGTGGGGTGTGCTTTGGGGCTTGAAGAAGCTGCAGAACACCTGTGGTGCTACCTTGTGACCACATTCCTTTCTTTGTTCGTTTTGCTCTGAGGTATGTGCACTTGCTGGAGAGACAGAAGAGAAGGAGAAAGTGAGAAATCACCCCCAGGGGGATGACCATGCTACAGTCCCTTCTCTATTCTTGGGGGTTTTTGGGGGTTTTTTTTGGATAGGTTTTTGCTATAGGGTAGTGCACTTGCCAGAAGTACAGAGACAGAAGGTGAGAAATTACCCTCCGGGGGGATGGCCACACTGCAATCCGTTCTCCTCCATTCCTCTCAGGATCTTGGGCACGCACGCACATGCCCCCAGTGTGAGTTTAAGCCGCCGGGTTTGGGACTCGAACTGCGGTCGACCACATGGGAGTCTAGTGACACAGCCATTATGCCAATTGCTGGTCCCTCTTCTTGGGATTTTGGACATGCACACACACACACCCAGCATGTTTTTCAAGCCACCATGTCCAGGACACACACCATGTAATTGGCCATGGGAGATCCAAGCGTCTTAACCACCATGCCACCTGGGTGGCCCTGTCACCGTGTCTTTGAAGTGGACAGAGGAGCACACAGCACCTCAGTGCACACGTGCAGGCGCTGGGTGTGTTCCTGTGGGATTGGAATTGGTTTGAACTGAACATCTCTTCCCCATTTGTTCCCGTAGGCTTGCTCTATAAGGGATCCCAACAGTGGGTTCGTGTTTAACCTTAGCCCACTCAACAGCTCACAAGGATACGTGGTCTCAGGCATCGGGAAGACATTTGTGGTAAGAGTGATATGATTCATTTCCAATTTACTTTGAAGCAAGGAGAATGTGCATTTAGGTCATCTGCATGTGTTGGTTCAGGAGGTGGATGTCGCAGGAATCGCCCAGGACACAGGGTAGCAGCTGTCACTCAGGAGGATATGAGAATTAAGGAGAAAATGAACTGACCCTCCCGCCCCCGTATCCTCGTGCAGTTCAGATATGAGGACTGTTACTGTTGGACTGAGGGCTCTCCCCAGTCCGTTGATGTGCTGAGCAGGGTCTCTGAGAGCAGCAGCACTGGTGTCACCTGGGGACTTGCAGATCCTTGGGCTACACTCTGGACTCATGAGTCAGCGGCTCCGGTGGGCCCTGTGGTCTGGCCCACAGCCCCCTAGGAGACGTCGACAGCACATCGGGCTGAGAGCCACTGTGAGGAGGAAGTGGTGACTGCACTCTGTGGCAGGGCACTGACCTGAACAGCCGTGTTACTGGCGTCTGTCAGCGCCCCCGTCGTAGACTGCCCTGATGGTGCGTCTGGAGCCCTGGACAGAAATTCCCCATGTTCAGGCCGTCCTGTTACAAACTAAGCACTGCTGGAAAAGGAAAAAGGTTTTTAAAAGTCTCGATTTGTTTAACACTTGTAGCAAAGTTCACATTGGAACAAGAGAATACACACTGAAGGCAGGATACTAGGGCGGGACCGTCTTACAAAGGCAGAGGAGCATTTGCGGGGGACGCAACATGCAGGAGCATGCAGCCTGTCCCTTGGCCGGGAGGACCCAGCAGGACCCAGCAGGACCCGTGCCTCCTGGCAGCACGTGGTCTTCATCCCTGTTCCTCCCAGGCCTCTCTTTCGTAGTGTGTTTGACAGAGGCTGCAGTGTTACAAGTTCGTGCTAGTACTGTCTGATTTGCCAAGTAGCTGCTCTGAGTTAGGCTTATTCCGAGTGGTGAAGAATAGGTTCATAACAGGAGAGTGTACTCAAGCGAACATCCCACTGAACCCCATAGAGAACATGCTAGAAGCAGCATGTTCTGTGCACCAGCAGGGGTGTTAGGAGACGGCAGCTGCTTGTCCTGCTTCCTGGACAGCATGGTCCGACTCTGGATATCAGAGGTAGGAACAGAGCTTATGGGAAGGGCGTTGGGGCTCCCAGGAGTCAGGGAAGCCAGCATACTGCCTGAGGACACCAGCTCCCGCCAGCCAGCTGCCTGGTGTTCCAGGCCTGCATTCCTG